CTGTAGTATTTTGCTGATAATTCCTCTTCTGAATAGAGCATACTATAAAAAATGCTGAGATCACGACTTTTAAAATAATGTTACGTAAAATAAGTTGACATTCCTGTTTTTTTGGGGTTTTTTTCACTCACACACTTGAAATCCAATTGTTTTAGCATATTAGGTAGATCATTGAAAACACTGTAAATCTGAAAACAAATGAAAGCTATCCTGGGTACGCACACTCAGGTGAGTGCAAATAACAGCCAGAAAATTCACCTGATAGAAGAGCTTCCGAGAAGGGCTGGAATCGCTGCGTATGGCCAGTCTGCTGGTCGGTGTTTCAGGAGACACTTGAGTCACACTGTCCTAATGTCTACTTGCTTATAAAGCATTTCCAAAGGTCGGCCTCTTACATCTCTTTGCTGAAAGGAGAATAAGTAGCCGTTCCCACTTCCTTTATTAACGTTATCAGTCCAACAGGGTGTTTTGAATAAGAGTGAGAACATGTGTTTTTGGCATGAAAATATGGTTCCATTTCTATTTTCTTTCAGAAAAGCAAGCTTAGCTCTGAGTTATCCATCTTTCTATTTCTCTATGTCTACTCATTTAAAGTCTATATCATCATACAATTATTTTCTAATGAATACATTATAAATAAAAAAACTATCTAGTTTTATTCACGTGAGAGTTTCTCATGGTACTCCCCCACCAACTATGTCAATACATATGTTTTATATTTTAGGCAATTTAATTAGAGATTGAGAGAACTTTTCAAAGAACTAAATACTCAAAATTTGACTATATTTGGGCAGGGGGGATAGCTCAATAGAATAAGCACTTGCCTGGCAAGCGCAGGGTCCTGAGTACCACAAAGAGAGAGAGAGAGAGAGAGAGAGAGAGAGAGAGAGAGAGAGAGAGAGAGAGAGATTTGACTATATTTGATAGGTACAAATAATACATGAATAGCACAATCTTTGCACACCATTGCTGTCTTTGAATAAGGGATCTAAAATAATAAGACAGAAACAAAGTATACTGAGGTATGGCCGGGGAGATGGTTCAGTAAAATAAGCATTTCCCTGGCAACCACAAGGGCCTGAGTTTAATCCCCAGTTCCACACACACACACACACACACACACACACA